TTCCATGCATTTATCCTTTAAGATACAAAGCATCATTTATTCTTTGAGTTACAAAGACCCAGCATTTGTTCTGAATTCATTTTCCTTTTAATTTCTTTTTTCTTTTTTAATTTTATTAATATTTATTTAACCAAATATATTTCAAATATTATCATTTCAACATGTGGTATTTTATTTTATTTTTTTATTTTTTTAAATTTTTTATTTCCAATTTATTTATTTTATTGCATTTTAGGTTTCAGGTTCATGTGAAGAACATGCAAGATTGTTGCATAGGTACACAAGTGGCAGTGTGATTTGCTGCCTTCCTCCGCATCACCTGCTCTGGCATCTCTCCTCTTGCTATCTCTCCCCAACTCCCCACTCCCCACCGTCCCTCCCCTATTTGCCCCAACAGACCCCAGTGTGTAGTACTCCCCTCCCTGTGTCCATGTGTTCTCATTGTTCAACACCCGCCTATGAGTGAGAACATGCGGTGTTTGATCTTCTGCTCCTCTGTCAGTTTGCTGAGAATGATGGTTTCCAGGTTCATCCATGTCCCTACAAAGGACCCAAACTCATCGTTTTTGATGGCTGCATAATATTCCATGGTGTATATATGCCACATTTTCCCTGTCCAGTCTATCATCGATGGGCATTTAGGTTGGTTCTAGGTCTTTGCTATTGTAAACAGTGCTGCAGTGAACATTCATGTGCATGTGTCCTTATAGTAGAACGATTTATAATCCTTTGGATATATACCCAGTAATGGGATTGCTGGGTCAAATGGAATTTCTATTTCTGGGTCCTTGAGGAATCGCCACACTGTCTTCCACAATGGTTGAACTAATTTACACTCCCACCAACAGTGTAAAAGTGTTCCTGTTTCTCCACATCCTCTCCAGCATCTGTTGTCTCCAGATTTTTTAATGATCACCATTCTAACTGGCATGAGATGGTATCTCAATGTAGTTTTGATTTGCATTTCTCTGATGACCAGTGATGATGAGCATTTTTTCATATGTTTGTTGGCCTCATGTATGTCTTCTTTTGTAAAGTATCTGTTCATATCCTTTGCCCACTTTTGAATGGGCATTTTAGTATTTTTCTTGTAAATCTGTTGTAGTTCTTTGTAAATTCTGGATATCAGCCCTTTGTCAGATGGGTAAACTGCAAAAATTTTTTCCCATTCTGTTGGCTGCTGATTCACTCTAATGACTGTTTCTTTTGCTGTGCAGAAGCTGTGGAGTTTGATTAGGTCTCATTTGTCTATTTTGGCTTTTGTTGTCAATGCTTTTGGTGTTTTGGTCATGAAGTCCTTGCCTACACCTATGTCCTCAATGGTTTTGCCTAGATATTCTTCTAGGGTTTTTATGGTCTTAGGTCTTATGTTTAAGTCTTTAATCCATCTGGAGTTAATTTTAGTGTAAGGTGTCAAGAAGGGGTCCAGTTTCTGCTTTCTGCACATGGCTAGCCAGCTTTCCCAACACCATTTATTGAACAGGGAATCCTTTCCCCATTGCTTGTTTTTGTCTGGTTTGTCAAAGATCAGATGGTTATATATATGTTGCGTTGCCTCAGAGACCTCTGTTCTGTTCCATTGGTCTATATCTCTGTTTTGGTACCAGTACCATGCTGTTTTGATTACTGTAGCCTTGTAGTATAGTTTGAAGTCCGGTAGTGTGATGCCTCCCACTTGTTCTTTTTGCTGAGAATTGACTTGGCTATGCGGGCTCTCTTTTGGTTCCATATGAAGTTTAAGGTAGTTTTTTCCAGTTCTGTGAAGAAGGTCATTGGTAGCTTGATGGGGATAGCATTGAATCTGTAAATTACTTTGGGCAGTATGGCCATTTTCACGATATTGATTCTTCCTAACCATGAACATGGAATGTTTCTCCATCTGTTTGTGTCCTCTCTTATTTCGTTGAGCAGTGGCTTGTAGTTCTCCTTGAAGAGGTCCTTTACGTTCCTTGTTAGTTGTATTCCTAGGTATTTTATTCTCTTTGTGGCAATTGTGAATGGAAGTTTGTTCTTGATTTGGCTCTCTTTAAGTCTGTTATTGGTGTATAGGAATGCATGTGATTTTTGCACATTGACTTTGTATCCTGAGACTTTGCTGAAGTTGCTTATCAGTTTCAGGAGATTTTGGGCTGAGACAATGGGGTCTTCTAGATATACAATCATGTCGTCTGCAAATAGAGACAATTTGACTTCCTCCTTTCCTATTTGAATACCCTTTATTTCTTTTTCTTGCCTGATTGCTCTGGCTAGAACTTCTAGTACTATATTGAATAGGAGTGGTGAGAGAGGGCATCCTTGTTTAGTGCCACATTTCAAGGGGAATGCTTCCAGTTTTTGCCCATTCAGTATGATATTGGCTGTTGGTTTGTCGTAAATAGCTTTTATTATTTTGAGATACGTTCCGTCAATACCTAGCTTATTGAGGGTTTTTAGCATAAAGGGCTGTTGAATTTTGTCAAAGGCCTTCTCTGCATCAATTGAGATAATCATGTGGTTTTTGTCTTTGGTTCTGTTTATATGGTCAATTACGTTTATAGAGTTGCGTATGTTGAACCAGCCTTGCATCCCCGGGATGAAGCCTACTTGATCATGGTGGATAAGCTTTTTGATGTGCTGTTGCAATCGGCTTGTCAGTATTTTATTGAAGATTTTTGCATCTATGTTCATCATGGATATTGGCCTGAAATTTTCTTTTCTTGTTGAGTCTCTGCCGGGTTTTGGAATCAGGATGATGTTGGTGTCATAAAATGATTTGGGAAGAATTCCCTCTTTTTGTATTGTTTGCAATAGTTTCAGAAGGAATGGTACCAGCTCCTCTTTGTATATCTGGTAGAATTCAGCTGTGAACCCGTCTGGACCTGGGCTTTTTTTTGGGAGGTAAGCTCTTAATTGCTGCCTCAACTTCAGACCTTGTTATGGGTCTGTTCAGGGTTTCGGCTTCTTCCTGGTTTAGGCTTGGCAGGAGGCAAGTGTCCAGGAATTTATCCATTTCTTCCAGGTTTATTAGTTTGTGTGCATAGAGTTGTTTGTAATAATCTCTGATGATGGTTTGAATTTCTGTGGAATCTGTGGTGATATCCCCTTTATCGTTTTTTATTGCATCAATTTGGTTATTCTCTCTTTTCTTTTTTATTAATCTGGCTAGTGGTCTGTCTATTTTGTTGATCTTTTCAAAAAACCAGCTCCTGGATTTATTGATTTTTTTGAAGGGTTTTTTGTGTCTCTATCTCCTTCAGTTCTGCTCTGATCTTAGCTATTTCTTGTCTTCTGCTAGACTTTGAGTTTTTTTTATCTTGTTCCTCTAGCTCTTTCAGTTTTGACGATAGCGTGTCAATTTTTGATCTCTCCTTGCTTCTCATGTGGGCACTTATTGCTATACATTTTCCTCTAGAGACTGCTTTAAATGTGTCCCAGAGATTCTGGTAACTTGTGTCTTCATTCTCGTTGGTTTCAAAGAACATCTTTATTTCTGTCTTCATTTCATTGTTTATTCAGTCAACATTCAAGAGCAAGTTGTTCAGTTTCCATGAAGCTGTGCGGTTCTGGGTTAGTTTTTGAATTCTGAGTTCTAACTTGATTGCACTGTGGTCTGAGAGACTGTTATGATTTCCGTTCTTTTGCATTTGCTGAGGAGTGATTTACTCCCAATTATGTGGTCGATTTTAGAGTAGGTGTGATGTGGTGCTGAGAAGAATGTATATTCTGTGGATTTGGGGTGGAGAGTTCTGTAAATGTCTATTAGATTTGCTTGGTCCAGGTCTGAGTTCAAGTCCTGGATATCCTTGTTAATTTTCTGTCTGGTTGATCTGTCTAATATTGACGATGGGGTGTTAAAGTCTCCCACTATAATTGTGTGGGAGTCTAAGTCTCTTTGTAAGTCATTTAGAACTTGTCTTATGTATCTGGGTGCTCCTGTATTGGGTGCGTATATATTTAGGATCGTTAGCTCTTCTTGTTGCATTGATCCTTTTACCATTATGTAATGTCCTTCTTTGTCTCTTTTGATCTTTGTTGCTTTAAAGTCTAATTTATCAGAGACTAGGACTGCAACTCCTGCTTTTTTTTGCTCTCCATTTGCTTGGTAAATCTTCCTCCATCCCTTTATTTTGAGCCTTTGTTGTATCCTTGCATGTGAGATGGGTTTCCTGGATACAGCACACCGATGGGTTTTGGCTCTTTATCCATTTTGCCAGTCTGTGTCTTGTGATTCGGGCATTTAGTCCATTTACATTTAGGATTAATATTGTTATACGTGAATTTGATACTGCCATTGTGGTGCTAGCTGGCTGTTTTGCCCATTAGTTGATGCAGATTCTTCATTGTGTTGATTCTCTTTATCATTTGGCGTGTTTTTGGAGTGGCGACAATTTATACTTTCTAAAAAATTATTTGAAAAGCTACAAAAAGAAAAGTGAGTGGGTGGTTCCTCAGATGTTGAGGTATGGATATGAGAGGAGTTTGAAAAGTAACGGCTCTTACTGTTCTGCAAAATGTCTGCAATTAATATCTAGGCCCTTTGCAGTCTTTATGCTTCTCCTCTGACAGTAGCTATTCAGTCCCTTCCTTCATTCTTGTCCCTTGCTGTCAGTAAGCTTCTCAGAATACAGGCATACATTGCTTAATGAAGGGGATCTGTCCTGAGAAATGCCTCCTTAGGCCATTGTTGTTCTGCGAACAGCATAGAGTATACTTGCACAGACCCAGACGGTATAGCCTATTTATGCACCTAGGTTATATAGTATACTCTCTTGCTCATAGGCTGCAAACCTATACAGCATGTTACTGTACTGAATACTACAGGCACTTGTGACACAATGGTACAGAATTGTTCATCTAAATGTAGAAAAGTTACAATAAAAATACTATATAAAAGAGAAAAAATGGTATACTTGTATAGGGCACTTGAATGGAGTTTGCAGAACTGAAAGTTGCTCTGGGTGAGTCAGTGAGTGAGTGGTGAGTGAATGTGAAGACCTAAGACATCATTGCACACTAGTGTAGACTTTATAAACACTGTACACACAGGATACACTATATATGTAAAAAATAAAGTAATTGTATTACAGTGTTACAATGGCTACCATGTCACTAGGTTATAGAATTTTTCAGCTCCACTATAATCTCATGGGGTCATTGTTGTAAATGTAGTCTATCATTGACTGTAACATCATTATGTGGCTCATTGACTGTATTTCATTCCTCTGTCATGAAGGCAGTTTTCATTGGCCCTGGAATCAGGTAAACTTGAACCTGAATCCTCTTTGACAGTGTATGAATTTGTGACTTTAGACAAGTTTATTAGCCTCTCTGAATCTTGGTTTTAGCTATTTAATATGGGATGAAATCTACCTTATAATGTTACAAAGATTAAACAGTAAGGATGAAGTGGTAAGCATGGTACATGTCATGTAAGTGCTTAATAATATTTGCTTCTGCTTTTCCCTTATCCAGTTGTAGATTCCTTTTAAAAGCAAGAAACCTGATTTACAGTTTTAAAAAAAGGCATTTATAAGTAGTTTTGAATTTTTTTTATTTATTTATTTATTTTTGGGGGGATGGAGTCTTGCTCTTTTGCCCAGGCTGGAGTGCAGTGGTGTGATCTCGGCTCACTGCAACCTCTGCCTCCCATGTTCAAGTGATTCTAGTGCCTAAGCCTCCCAAGTAGTGGGGATTACAGGTGTGCACCACCATGCCTGGCTAATTTTTGTATTTTTAGTAGAGATGGGGTTTCACCATATTGGCCATGCTGGTCTCGAAATCCTGACCTCAGGTGATCTGCCTGCCTTGGCCTCCCAGAGTGTTGGGATTATAGGCGTGAGCCACCATGCCTGGCCTGAAAAAAATTTTTTAAATATGAAATACCAATACTATAAATGTGCTATACTTTAATAAAATTATTTTTATAGAAACTAAAAAGACTCAGACATTTCCAAGTACTGTACCAAATATTAGTCTTAGTTCACCATTAAATTAAAGCTCACACATGGCTTTAAAGTGTCTCATAGAAGATTATATTATTAGATGATGTAGACAACATGTTTTTTCAAATTGTTAATGAATGCATTTTTTAGACACCTAACAGATTATGAATTAGGTAAAGTGCATGAAAGACAGCATGGCTACCAAAATGAGGCAGACTTACCATGTTTATTTTACTTCAAAAGTGTAAGCAAATGTGAGGGAGAGTTTCACAAACATTTGAAGACAGTAGGTAGCTCATCAAATGAAGTGATAATATTCATAACGTAAACTTTATAGTGGAGCTGTCAGACTAGTTTATCTTAAGACCAAAGTTCAAGATGATTGATATCATTTGTGTTGAAATTATTTGTACATTTGGAAATCGGTAAGTATTCTTCACAGAGAATAGCACATTCAGGTTCTAACATTATTCCTTTCCCCCACAAAGTGGTACAGCCACAAACACTAGTAACAGTTCATCTGTTTTTTGAACTCATCTTGTGCCTCTAAGTTATTAAGACTTAAGACGCTCTTGGGAGATAACATGTAGTACCCTCATCTTAGGCAGGAAAATAGAGGTATAGAGAAGGGAAAGGGTAGAATTTTCTTTCCATGCTCTACTTGTGACAGGCCGGGAAATGTTAAAGCCTTTCTGACTCACAGGCTCTTTAGTCTTTAACATGTATTGTTTATTGATTTGCAAAATGACCCTAATATGTAATGTCATTACCAGTTTTCTTATGTTTATACTGAAAGTGGTTGTGGGTATGGAGTATGTTTTATAGAAAAGACCATTATCAAAAACGAAGAAGACAGTTGTGTGGCATGGATATTGCCACTGTCCCTTGTTCTGCTCCTGGCAAACATTGCTGCTTGATCATGTGACTATTTCAGAAGCTAGATTTGACCTCAGAATCCTTTTTTTTTTTTAATTTTAATGTTAATTAATTTTTAAATTTTTTTTCTTTTTTTTTTGAGATGGAGTCTTGCTCTGTTGCCCAGGCTAGAGTGCAGTGGCACGATAAGGCCTCACTGTGTTGCTCAGTCTGATCTTCAACTCCTGAGGTCCAGCGATCCTCTCACCTCAGGTTCCCAAAATGCTGGGGTTACAGGCGTGAGCCACTGTACCCGGGCTCAGAATCCTTTTCAACATATTGTTCAAGGAAGGTATTACCAGTCAATCACAGGTCCACAAAACAAAGTTCTTTTTTAGTCCCTCCTTATTTAATTTACTTACTTAAATCATGTGCATTAAGAGATTATGAATTTACTTAAAAGTTGAGGATCTATTAAATTTGTAGTCCTGTAGCTGGCCTCAAAGTACCATATATAGGACTCAGTTTATGTTTCCAGCAGGTTTACTTTCCTGTGGGTCAAATAGACAGGCACATAATTAGAAGACAGACTCTGCTATATTATTGCTGGGAAGAGAATAGAGAATGATGTAAGATTAATTTTTACTTGGTGGATGTGGTGATTTTGGACTTTGAGGATAGAATCTTTAAAGTCATCTTGAGCAAAGGCATAGAAGATAGAAAGTGTAGGATGGGTTTTGGGGAATGACAAATAATGTATCTTGGCTTAAGTACTAAACAAAGATAAGGTAGGAGCAAATAGAGTAGCTTGCTCCCTGTACAATGGGCTTTGGGTTTTATTTTGTTGTTCCTAGTCTCACACATGCGTTTTAATCAGTAGAATGATGTGATCCAGATCTGTGCTTTAAGAAGATAACTCTTGAGTTTGAATAGAAGTAAGGTTGGAATCTTGACATAAATGTAGGAATCCTTGGTAGTAGTATAGGAAAAAATGATGAGAATAAGAACTAAAATTCTGAAATGGAAATGGTGAATTTAGAATAAATTTTAAGGTAAAATTAATGTGATTCCTATAGGGTTAAGTTATCCCTAGAGTCCCCAGCATTTCTTTGGGAGGATATTTAGTAATTTCCTTTGTATGTTTCAAGTTAAAAAAATTTTTTTAAGGTGCTTTTTTTTTTTGTCTCCTTGTATTTCTGGAGAATTGTTTCTTTATCCTTGGTATTTCATTAAGTAGGATATGTATTTCCATCGGTGATTTGGTTTATTTTTTCTTTCCTTGTATAGATTTTTTTCACCTTTATTTTTGGGATATTCTCTATTATATCTTTCTGCCTTTTCTCTTCCATTTAATTAATTGTTCTACTTGAGGGATACTAATTATCTTTCTGTTCAGCCTTTGTCCTAGATTTTTTTTTCTAAGTCTTTTGATTTCTTTGTCATCATTTTTCTTTTCAAAATTTTTTTAACTGTCTTTTCCTTTTATTTTCTTTTTCTTTCTTTCTTTTTTTTTTTTTTGGATACAGGGTCTCTCTCTGTCACCCAGGCTGCAGCGCAGCAGTGGTGTGATCACGGCTCACTGCAGCCTTGAGCCTGTGGGCTCAATCTATCTTCCCATTTTAGCCTCCTGAGTAGCTGGGACAACAGGTGTGCGCCACCATGCCTGGCTAATTCTTGTATTCTTTTGTAGTCTTGAGGTTTTGCCAAGTTGTCCAGGCTGGTCTCGTACTCCTGGACTCACGTGATCCACCATCTTGGCCTCCTCAATACTCTTGTTATCTTGAGATTTTTCTCTTTGCCATTTATTTAAGCCTTTAGTTCTTTTCCTTGCTTCCTTCCCTCCCCAATTCATTATTCTTCTTAATGGTTTTCTTAATGCCAAAATGTTTCTTTTTAATTTACTTGTTTTATCTTTTCATCTTTGGGCTTTTCTTTCATTAAATGCCTGTTCTTATTAAGTTGCTCTGTGTTACAAGAAACTGTTTATATGGTTGTATGGCCATTTCTTTTTGTCTTGCTCAGGCTTAATTTGGATACCTAGGTCAAGACTTTGCTTTTGCCCTTCTGTGGCCCTACACTTTCCCATCTGCTTAGATCATGTTAAATGTCCTATACCAGTCTCATTTCTACATACTACATACTGCTGAGGGTGTAGTATGATTCTATGTGTTTCAGATCCTTCCCTCAACTCATTATAGGGCCTTAGAAGTTGGCAGATCCTGGTGATGCCTCTGCCTAGGTTTTGAAGCCTCTGTGCTCAAGATATTTTCCTCAACTTCTCTAGGGCATGACAAATCAAATTTTTCTATCCAAACAAGAGGTATTTCTTAAAATTTTCAAGTTTTTTAGTTCACCTTTCTTTCTCACTGCTGCTTGCAGGTGGTAATCAGGCTAATAGTCACACTGTATCATACAGATTTTTTTTCTGTCTACTTTTTAAAGTTTGTAGGTTCTTAGCTTAAATAGCTTTTTGTATTATTGTATGTAGCTGTTGGGTTTCTGGTAAAAAAAATATCACATACACATATGTATATGCATTTATATCATATTAGTGGGTAACAGGACATTCTTTAGTCCTTTTTCACTCTACTATCTTTACTTGAACACTTGTGTGATTTTCTAAATATTTGCTTTTGACATAATTAATAACACTTATGTATTATGGGAATTCTACTTCTTAGACCAGGATTAAACAGTCATTAGATTGAATCAGCAACCAACAGAATGGGAAAAAATTTTTGCAATCTACCCATCTGACAAAGGGCTAATAGCCAGAATCTACAAAGAACTAAAACAGATTTACAAGAAAAAAACAAACAAGCCCATTCCAAAGTGGGCGAAGTATATGAACAGACACTTTACAAAAGAAGACGTATATGAGGCCAACAAACATATGAAAAAATGCTCATCATCACTGGTCATTAGAGAAATGCAAATCTAAACTATATTGTGATACCATGTCACGCCAGTTAGAATGGCAATCATTAAAAAATCTGGAGACAACAGATGCTGGAGAGGATGTGGAGAAATAGGAACACTTTTACACTGTTGGTGGGAGTGTAAATTAATTCAACTATTGTGGAAGACAGTGTGGCAATTCCTCAAGGACCTAGAAATAGAAATTTCATTTAACCCAACAATCCCATTACTGGGTATATATCCAAAGGATTATAAATCATTGTATTATAAGGACACATGCACATGAATGTTCACTGCGGCACTGTTTACAATAGCAAAAACTTGGAACCAATCCAATTGCCCATCGATGATAGACTGGACAGGCAAAATGTGGCAGATATACACCATGGAATACTATGCAGCCATAAAAAATGATGAGTTTGTGTCCTTTGTAGGGTCATGAATGAACCTGGAAACCATCATTCTCAGCAAACTGACACAAGAACAGAAAATCAAACACCGCATGTTCTCACTCATAGGTGGATGTTGAACAATGAGAACACATAGACACAGGGAGGGGAGCATCACACACTGGGGTCAGTGGGGGGGTGGATATAGGGGAGGGACAGCAGTGGGTGGGGAGTTGGGGAGGGATAACATGGGGAGAAATGCCAGATATAGGTGATGGGGAGGAAGGCAGCAAACCACACTGCCATGTGTGTACCTATGCAACAATCTTACATGTTTTTCACATGTACCCCAAAAACCTAAAATGCAATTAAAAAGAAAAAAAAGAAAGAAAATCTTTTAAGGAGCGAAATAGAAAAAAAAAATTGGTTGGGTGTGGTGGCTTACGCCTGTAATGTCAGCACTCTGTGAAGCTGAGGTGGGTGGATCACCTGAGGTCAGGAGTTCGAGACCACCCTGGCCAACATGGTGAAACGCTGTCTTTACTAAAAAATATAAAAAATTAGCAGGGCGTGGTGGTGGGCACTGGTAATCCCAGCTACTCAGGAGGCTGAGTCAGGAGAATCACTTGAACCCGCTAGATCGAGGTTGCAGTGAGCTGAGGTTGCGCCACCTCACTCCAGCCTAGGCGACAGAGTGAGACTCCATCTCAACAACAATAACAACAAAATTTTAAAAATTTAGCTCAGTGCAGTAGCTCATTCCTGCAATCCCAACACTTTGGGAAGCCAAAGTGGGAGGATTGCTTGAACCCAGGAATCCAAAACCAGCCTGGATAATATAGCAAGGCCCCCACCTCTGTAAAAAGTAAAAATAAATTAGCAGGCCATGGTGGCATGCGTCTGTAGTTAGTCCTAGCTACTCAGAAGGCTGTGGTAGGAAGATCACTTGAGCCCAGGAGTTTGAGACTGCAGTGATCTGTGATTACACCACTACATTCTAGGTGGGTGAGAGAGCAAGACCACTCCTCTTAAAAAAAAAAAAAATTAAATTCAATGTCCTACACTACATTAAAAACATCAGTGACCCTAAGGCATTTTTAAATTTCTATTTTTCCCTTCTTTGTGTTTTTACAGAATTCTTATATAATTACAGTGAGAATATAGTGACCATATATTTTTGTTAATATTAGGACAAATATTTTAATATTTCTAGCTCATCTTTATAATCTTATTACATGATATGTCATACTTTATTAAAAATTTACTCAAGGCCGGGCGCGGTGGCTCACGCCTGTAATCCCAGCACTTTGGGAGGCTGAGGCGGGTGGATCACGAGGTCAAGAGATCGAGACCATCCTGGTCAACACGGTGAAACCCCGTCTCTACTAAAAATACAAAAAATTAGCTGGGCATGGTGGCGCGTGCCTGTAATCCCAGCTACTCAGGAGGCTGAGGCAGGAGAATTGCCTGAACCCAGGAGGCGGAGGTTGCGGTGAGCCGAGATCGCGCCATTGCACTCCAGCCTGGGTAACAAGAGCGAACTCTGTCTCAAAAAAAAAAAAAAAAAAAAAAAAAAAATTTACTCAAATATGGGACACTAGTTGTTTCTAATTTATGCTCTTTTGTGTGCATCTAACCTTTTTGTTTTTGTAGTTTTGTATTATATTTAAAATAAATACAAGTTGTGCGTGGTGGCTCACGCCTCTAATCCCAGCACTTTGGGAGGCCAACGCGAGACAATTGCTTGGCGTTAGGAGTGCAAGACAAGCCTAAATAATATAGTGAAACTCTGTCTCTACAAAAAAAATTTTTTTTTTAATTAGCTGGCTGTGATACTGTGTGCCTTTAGTCCCAGCTACCCGAGAGGCTAAGGTGGGAAGATCCCTTGAGCCAGGGAGGTGGAGGTTACAATGAGCCATGATCGTGCCACTGCACTCCAGCCTGGGTGACAGAGTAAGACCTTGTCTCAAAAAATAAAATAAAATAAAATAAACTGTGTAAGATTGAGATTAATGGACAAATCAACTTTATTAAATTTTTATACTTCTCACCCTGGCACTAACTGTAGTGTGTATTTATGTTACTAGATGGAAATTCTTTTGAGATAGTTGCCTAAATTGACAGCTTATTACTCAACCCTTAATGCCAAAAGAATTTTTTTGGTACTGTTATATTCTTCACCTATATACTTCCCATGGCTTTAGTAATTAGTGTTTTTCAAATGTCTTCTAGCTTTTATAAAATTATATACATTTAAAAAAATATATGTTCTTTAACTTTTATTTCACTGACTTTAAGGGAACAGGTGATTTTTGGTTGCATGAATGAATTGTATAGTGGTGAAGTTAGATTTCAGTGCACATGCCACCCAAATAGTGTACATTGTACCCTACTACATTCTGTAGTTTTTACTCATCCCCCTCCCACCATCCCCCCTTCTGAGTCTCCAGTGTCCATTATACCTCTCTGTATGCCTTTGCATAACCATAGCTTAGCTCCCAATTATAAGTAAGAGCATATGGTATTTGGTTTTCCATTACTGAATTGCTTTACTTAGAATAACAGCCTCCATCTCCATCTATGTTGCTTCAAAAGATATTATTTCATTCTTTTTTATGGCTGAGTAATATTCCTTGGTATATATATACCACATTTTCTTAATTCACTCATCAGTTGGTGGGTAATTAAGTTGGTTCTACATCTGGCAATTGTGCATTTTGCTGCAATAAATATACATAATGCAGCTGTTTTTGAAATACAATTTTCCTTTGGGTAGATACCCAGTAGTGAGATTGCTGGATCAAATGGTAGATTTAGTTCTTTAGAAACCTCCATACTTTTTCCTGTAGATGTGTTACTAATTTATATTTCCACCAGCAGTATATAAATGTTCCCTTTTCATCACATCTATGCCAATATCTATTGTTTTTTGACTTTTTAATAATAGCCGTTCTGGCTGGGATAAGGTGATATCTCATTGTGGTTTTAATTTGCATGTCCCTGATCATTAGTGATGTTGAGCCTTTTTTTTCATGTTTGTTGGCCATTGTATACCTTCTTTTGAGAAATGTTTATTGATGTAATTTGCCCACTTTTTAATGGGATTATTTTATTTTTTTCTTGCAGATTAGTTGGAGTTCCTTGTAGATTCTGGATATCAGTCTTCTGTCAGATGCATAGTTTGCAAATATTCCTTTCCATTCTGTGGGTTGTCTGTTTACTCTGATTATTTTTTGTTGAGCAGAAGCTTTTTAGTTTAATTAGGTCCCATTTATTTTTTGTTGCATTTTCTTTTGGTGTCTTAGTCATAAATTCTTTGCCTAGACTAATATGTAGAAGAGTTTTTCCTAGGTTTTCTTGTAGCATTTTATGGTTTCATGCCTTAGATTTAAGTCTTGAATTCATCTTGGGTTGATTTTTGTATATGGCAAAGGATAGGAATTCAATTTCATTCTTCCACATGTGACTATCCAGTTTTCCTGGCACCATTTATTGAATAAGGTGTTCTTTTCCCAATTTTTGTTGTGTATGCTTTGTCAAAGGTCATTTGGTTGTATTTGGCTTTACTTCTGGGTTCTCTACTCTGTTTCTTTACTCTGTGTATATACTTTTACACTACTACCATGCTGTTTTGGTTACTATAGTAGCCTTGTAGTATAATTTGAAGTCGAGTAATGTGATGGCTCCAGATTTGTTTTTTTGTTTAAGATTGCTTTGGCTATTTGTACTCTTTTTTGGCTGCATGTGAATTTTAGGATTGTTTTGTCTAATTCTGTGAAGAATGATATTGGTATTTTGATACGCATTGCATTGTGTAGACTGCTTTTGGCAGCATGGTGATTTTCATATTGATTCCGCTAATGCATGAGTGTGGGATGGGATGTATTTCCGTTCGTTTGCATTGTCTGTGATTTCTTTCAGAAGTGTTTTGCACTTCTCCTTGTAGAGATCTTTTACTTCCTTGGTTAAATGTATTCCTAGGTTGTTTTTTTTTTCAGCTATGGTCAAAGGGATTGAGTTCTTGATTGTTAGTCATTGTTGGTGTGCTACTGATTTGTGTACTTTGATTTTGCAACCTGTGACTTTACCTAATTTATTTATCAAATCTAGGAATCTTTTGAAGGAGTCTGTAGGATTTTCTAGATATATAATCATATCATTGGCAAACAGAGATAGTTTGACTTCCTCTTTCCCAATCTGAATGCGCTTTATTTCATTCTCTTGCCTCAGTGTGCTGGCTATGGCTTTCCGTATGTTCTTACTTTAAAGGAGAGACTATTACCCAAAATGAAAAAATTACTTGGATTGGAAATTGGAAGAAATACTCTGAAAGTATTATTTTTTACATAGTCAAATTTGGTAGTTTGATTTTATTATTTCTGGATTTTGCGGTCATCATTTATAGCATACGTTTGTAAAAGTTAAAAAAAAATTTCCTTATTTTCTTCCAACATAAAGTTATTAATCAGTGCATTCATTATTTGCTAGGAGTTCTGTAGA